GAGTGGGTGGCCACGCCCTCCTCCAGGGGACCTTCCCGACCCAGGGAGGGGACCCGCGTCTCTTGACTCCTGCACTGGCAATGGTTTCTTTACCACTAGCGCCACCGAGGAACCCGCTTACTGCCAGTTGGCAAAAGCGAGGCCAGCCAGAGGAAGGCATAGCCCTCGAGCACCCAGCAGAACACAATGGAGATATGCCTCAGTGTCTGTTTCACAACCAGACTCCTTTCTAGTTTGCCTTGGTGTGTAAGGCTGCCTGCTGCTGCGGCATGCCATAGAGAGAGGCCACTGGTTCTGTGAGATGAATGGCCTGGGCACCTAACCGGGAACGAGAACCACATCATCCTCCAGATGGCCTGAGCCTCAGGGATCAAGGTGGCAGTGCTGAGTGAGTGAGGCAGGCAGGTGGAAGGGCTTTCAGGGCGAGAAAGCACCAGCCAACTCTCTTTAGGAATTAATCCTTCCATTCAGTCAGTTCATTTGCTCAGTTGTGTCCAACTCTTTGCCACCCCACGGACTGCAGCATGCCAGGCTTCCCTGTCCTTCACCAACTCCCGAAGTTTGCTCAGACTCATGTCCATCAAATCAATGATGCCATCCAACCATCTCATCCTCTCTTGTCCCCTTCTCCTCCTGCCAGGGACACCTGTTAGAAATAAGTGAATGGTTGTTTTTGTTTAAAAAAAAAGAGAGAGAAGACAGCCAGGAAAAAGCAGCAGCTGAACTCCCAGACCCTCCCCTCCTCCCCACCTTCCCTGCAAGACACACACAGCCTAGTCAAAGCGCCGTGGATGGAGGCCCCTCACTGTGTTCTAATGGCCACGGCACCAGGACCGTGTTCCCCGAGCCTGTTTAGGTGTGGAAGCTGCTGTCTCAGGAATCCTGTTTTTCTGCAGTTTTGCCAGAAAAATAAGGCAGCAGTGGATGATGATATTCAAGCTCTCCAAGACCCAGTGAAAGCCCACATTTACCCCTAAAGAGCCAATATCAGAGGTTCTGGGATGGTCTAGACTTGAGTGGCCTTGAGATTTTCTGGTCCCGCAGGCTGGGGATGGGGAGACCGAGGTGCACAGGGGAAGCCGCTTGCCCAGGGCTGGTTTTGTGTCTGGGCTGCGCCTTCTGCGTCCCTTCCCATCTCGGGTTGCCAGGTCCCCTTCTGCAGTGTGCTGGGGACCGGCGGTGCCTGGGAGACTCGGTGACCTGCCAGGCCCTCTCCGGCGCCAGCCTTCCCTCGTCTTCTCATCAAAGGCATTAACCTCCTCTCCATTCTCAAGGTTGCTGCTTGCCTATTTATAGAACTGACCAAGAAAATGCCACTATTGCCAGTGATACAGAATACAAATCATGTACTGTGCGTTGATTTTCATTCTCTCAGACACCTCCTTCTTCTTTTTTTTTCCCAACTCCTTAGATAATGCTTTTCTACACCTGGTTTCCCTTCTCAATGCGGAGTCACTACTAGGAGAGGGGAGTGGGCTCCGCCATGTGCTGACCCCCCACTGTGTGCAGAAGCCCACCCCCTACGTGCTCCATGTTCCCCACAGGATTCTGAGGGGTGGGCATTGTCCGCGCCCCCCCACCGCCTCGCCCCCCAATGTGTGCTGCTTTGACAGAAGCAGCCAGCCTCAGTGACCCCGGACTCACAGGTGACAGAGGTGACTTAAATCCACTTTCGCCCAAATCCACAGGGTCCCATTCTTTCCACTTGCCTTCCCCTGTTCCAAATTCCAGCGCAGTCTTCCAGATCCAATGAGGAAGGTGGCTGCAGGGTGATGCTTGTGCATGTTATGGTTCCTTTGGAGGCCAAAAATCCGCTTTCTCACCCAGTCAGGGCAAGCAGGCTTTTCTGAGGACCTACTCTGGGCCTGGCCTTCCTCAGTGGCTCAGCGGGTAAAGAGTCCGCCTGCAACGCGGGAGTTGCAGGAGATGCGAGTTCGATTCCTGGGTCAGGAAGATCCCTTGGAGGAGGGCATGGCACCCCACTCCAGTATTCTTGCCTGGAGAATCCCATGGACAGGAGAGCCTGGGGGGCTACAGTTCACAGGGTCACAAAGAATCCGACATGACTGAAGCAGCTTTGCGGGCAGGCACGCACTCTGGGCCCAGCGAAGACTTGTCTCTCTCCAGGCCGCAGGTGCCCTGAAGATACGCTCACATTACTCTTTCCAAGCCGCACACAGTAGGCTCTCGGTCAGCCCTTGTGCAATGAGTGAGGGCTCGGACTCACCATCTGTCCCGGGGAGGAAGTAGAGAAGAGGCAAGCCCATCGAAGCAGCATCAGAGCTGCAGCAGCGCCTTCATGGAGGAGGGAGCCAGGGACGGGGCAGATGGGTCAGGAAGACCCTTCAGAGGCCACAGTGGCTTCCACGATGCTGTGTGCTAAATTGCAGCAGAAGCACGCTTGGTCTCCGGCTTCCTCCATCCTGCATCTTAAACTTCACAGAGGTTTTATTTTCCCAGTTGTGCTGTCAAGGGAGTCCCGGGGAATGGGAAAAGAACACTGTAAATCTTTCTTTGCTCATCTTCTCAGAAATCTTTTTCACAAGCAGGATTTTGGAGAGCTGCCATCTGCTCGTTATCCCTCTGCTCAGGGACTGGCATTTAACTGTGGGGTCGAGGGGCCCTCCCAGCCCGACCTTCTTCCTCTGGAGGACGTTCAGGTGTCAGCGTGTCCAGGCCTGTGGTCCAGTGTCCTTGTCCGGAAACTCTGTCCAACAGGGCTCTCCACTGTCTCTGAAAGCCCCGCCCTTGACCCCTTTCGTCCGTGGAGAGGACTGGGGGTCAGCAGAACACAGTGCTATGCAGGTCCAGAGAGTTAAGTGCCGCCCTCTGTTTTATGCATATTGCTATTTTCTGATACTGAGAGCACTATACCTTCCTTCTGGAACATTTGGAAAATATAGAAAAACAGGAAGAACAAAATAATAACCACCCATAATCCTGCCACCCAGACAGAAGGACTGCTGGCATCTTGGCACATTACTCCTCGGTTTCAATTTTTTTCCCCTGTGTAATTTTTCTCTTAACATAACTGAGATCACACTGTGAGACAGGATTTATATCCTCTGACCCCACTTAACATTAAAATCTATCACATTAAAATGCTTTGTAATGATTGTAAAATCTATCACATTAAAATGCTTTGTAATGATTGTAAGTGTGATTTTAACGGCAGCGTGAACTTACCCATGTGTAGGTACTATCATTGATACGAAATCCCGGGTTCTGGGGTGTGTTTGCTTGTTAATCTCAGTGCTGATGGACCATCTCCCAGAATAAAGGGCTTCATGTCAGTACAGGTGCATCATGGGAAAGCAGTATGGCTGCTCCCAGGGGGCCGAGTTTGGGTTTACTTCTCCCTGTGGTCCTTCCATCCCCAGACTAGGAAGTGTCAAGTCAAGGTGGTATCTACACTCAACATTTAGTTGCTATGTGAAAGGAACCCCTTACTAGCTGTGTGGGCAGGTCATTTCCCCTCATTTTCTTCAGCTAAGTCGTGGAATCCCTCCTCAGCAAGATTGGATTCCATAAGGATTTCAGGAGATGAAGCACATCAGGTACGCAGCAGAGTGTCTCACACATACAGGCCTTTTTATCATTGTTAAGCTACCATTACTGCTGTTGTTCAATCACTAAGTCATGTGCGACTCCTTGAAACCCCATGGACTGCAGCACGCCAGGCTTCCCCGTCACTCACTATCTCCCGGAGCTTGCTCAAACTCATGTCCGCTGAGTTGGAGATGCCATACAACCATCTCATTCTCTATCATCCCCTTCTTCTCCTGCCCTCAATCTTTCCCAGCATCAGGGTCTTTTCTAGCGAGTCAGCTCTTCACATCAGGTGGCCAAAGCATTGGAGCTTCAGCTTCAGCATCAGTCCTTCCAATGAATCTTCAAAGTTGATTTCCTTTAGGATTGATTGCTTGGATCTCCTTGCTGGCCAAGAGACTCTCAAGTCTTCTCCAGTAGCACAGTTTGAAAGCATCAATTCTTTGGCACTCAGCCTTCTTTATGGTCCAACTCTCATCCATACATGACTCCTGGAAAAACCATAACTCTGACTATATGCACCTATGTCAGCAAAGTGATGTCTCTGCTTTTGAATATGCTGTCTAGGTTTGTCATAGCTTTTCTTCCAAAGAGCAAGTGTCTTTTAATTTCATGGCTGCAGTTACCATCCACAGTGATTTTGAAGCCCAAGAAAATAAAATCTGCCACTGTTTCCATTTTTTCCCCCTTCTCTTTGCCATAAAGTGATGGCCATTATTATTGTATTTTTATCTCTTAACCTTCTGTTGGGGTCTTCAAGATCTTCCCCAGTTTCCATAAGGGCTCATGAGCTCAGCATACGGTTGTGCTCATGGCTAAGATTTGCTGCAGCAAGAGGGTACCCCGCACAGTGAGTGTGGAGAACAGCACACGGGGCTGAGACCGCAGGGATCCAGGCACACGCTCCTGCATCCCCTCCCCATGCGGCCACACAGGGTGGGCTTGATTCTGCTAGGGCTGAGTTGTGACCACGTGTGAAATGTCTTCCAGGGACGCACTTTAGAGACTCACACCAGGGGGCTGGTCATGTAGGCCTCTCTGCCTGTGCCCACATTCCAGACTGCTACGTTGTTTGTACAAATAATCCCGGCACAGTGAGCCTCCCATATCAAGTCAGGAATGGTGGGAACATGCAGATTCCACGTTCCCAGAGGTCAGCCCAGCAGGTCTTCATAAGGATGCAGTTGTAGGCCTGCTCCATTAACTCTTCAGCATAGATATGCTGAGAGGTCCTATTTCCTGTGTTTGGACCACTTCAAGGTGAGGGGTGGGGTGGGGTGGGGTGGGACAGATGCCCTCGTTTCCATGGGACAAAACTGAGGGCTGGTGAAGGGAAGAGACATGGGGGTGGGCTGCCTCCTCCGTGTGCAGGGTCCCAGGAGGAAGCAAGTTCTGGATAATCCCTCACCATCCCCTTTCCTGCTTACATGTCTTTCTCTCTCTCTCTCTAGGCTCTCAAGGGCTCCAAGAAGCTGGTGCTCTCCGTGTACTCAGCGGGGCGCATCCCCGGCGGCTACGTCACCAACCACATCTACACCTGGGTAGACCCCCAGGGCCGCAGCATCTCGCCGCCCTCAGGCCTGCCCCAGCCCCACGGCAGCGCCCTGCGGCAGCATGAGGGTGACAGGAGGAGCACCCTACACCTCCTGCAAGGCGGGGATGAGAAAAAGGTGAGCCTCCTGGCCTTGGCCTCTCAGGGCCTCCTAGAGGTGAAGGCCTGGTGGGAGGCGGGATGGGGGAGCTGGCCACTGAGATGCCATTCTCCTTGCCAAACCCAGAACAGGGTTAGAGCCCAGAAGAAAGGCCTTGGTTCTGTAGGGGCTCCTGGTCTTCATCTCCCTCAATTCCCTCGTTGTTATTGTTCAGTTGCTCAGTCGTGTCCAACTCTTTGTGACTCCATGGGCTGCATCACGCCAGGTTTCCCCCGTCCTTCAATATCTCCCGGAGTTTGCTCAAATTCATGTCCATTGAGTCAGCGATGCCATCCACCATCTCATCCTCTGTTGCGCCCGTCTCCTCCTGCCTTCAATCTTTCCCAGCATCAGGGGCTTTTCTAATGAGTCAGCTGTTTGCATCAGATGGTCAGAGTATTGGAGTTTCAGCTTCAGCATCAGTCCCTCCAATGTATATTCAGGGTTGATTTCCTTAGGGTTGACTGGTTTGATCTCCCTGCAGTCCAAGGGACTCTCAAGACTCCCGCAACACAGTTCGAAAGCATCAGTTCTCCATGGCAGAGTAGAGGGGATCCTCTAGGCTTGGGGGGCAGCTCCGTTCTCCCTCTGCCATCCTCTGTGGTATTGCCCCCTGTGGTTGAAGCCTAGTCTACATGTAGCCCCGAGAGCGGACAGAGGAAGAGAAGACGCTCAGATGATTTACACTCGCGATGATTTAACTCCTCAGTGGCCCGGATCCAGGCGCACGGCCACATGCAGCTGCCAGGACTGCAAGCCGCACGGGGCACCTTTTGCAGTGTGGGTTTGGGGCTGTAAGGAATGGAAACTGGTCCTGGTCAGCTTCCACAAAGTCAGAATTGACTGGCAGTGTGTGGGCAGGCCCAGAACTGAAGCTGAGGCACTCAGGACGCAGCCTCCAGGAAGAAAGGGGTCCCCACGGTTTCCGTTCTCTGCATCCTTTCCCTCAAGATTCGTGTATGGGGAGGGAGCACCTGGTTGGCTGGCAGGGACCTTTGATTGACAGAAACACCAGTGCTGTGGCTGGTGGGGGCGGGGTTGTAGCCCAAAGCACCATGGGATGCTGTAACCTGAAGAAGAGGGTGGGGGCCTCAAGAGATGCCCCCTACAGAACCTTCCTTCCCCAAGACCGTGACTGTTCCTTTAATAAAATGGAGAAAGGACTGAGAGATGGTCCCCCTGATATTTTAATGCTCACTCTGGGTGCTGTTTGCATTGCGCCCTTTCATTGCTCCTGGGACCAAAACAGTCCTTTCTGTAAGCAGCTCTCTGAGGTTTTAAGACCTTGACACAGCTTGGGGCTCTGAGCCAAGCGCCTTCCCTCTGGAGACTCTTAGCTCTCCTTTCCTGTCAATAAGACCATAACATTTATTTAATGTGTTTTGTGTTCTTTGCTCAAATATCAATGTGCTGGAGCCGGCAGAGAGGCAGCGGGGTAGCCAGCTAGTGTGAACCACCAGCACCTGCGTGGGCCTCTTCAAGGGGGCCAGGGCTGGTTGGCTGCAGAAAGGGGCTTATGCCCGCCTCCCCGCCAGGCGCTGTTGTTCTCTGGCCATCTCGAGAAAGTGGCACAGCCTGTGGCATTGAGTCATTTTCAAGGCCAGCCTTCCAGGGCTGGGCAGAGAACTTGTTGTATCTTTTCCTCAAGCCTTCCCTCTGGAGGGCATGAACTTGGAGTAGTAATTATGATCAGGGAAGAGCTCGTCGTGTGCTAGTTTGTGCTTACAGCATCTTCCAGAATCCTTGTGGTTGCTCTATGGGTAGGTGTCGTTAACAACATTTTGGAGACGCAAAATCCAAGACTCAGGTGCCATGGCAACCAGGATCCACTGAGTGAGTCAGCCTATGCTTAGCGAGCACCTCTGGTATACCTGGTGCTGTTATGGGAGGTGAGAATGGAGAAATGGATAGGAGACATGAAGTCCCGCTCTGGGGAAGCTACTGGTGAGTTTGGAGGTCATAGGAGGAATGAGACGATAGTCCAGAAATGGGCGTATTTGAACAAGATAATTAAGACGGTGAGGTTTGATGGAAGGAAATAAAATCAGGAAACGTGATGGAGAGTGATGGGGAGGGAGCCCTGCTTCAGATGAGGTGGGCTGGGAGGGTCTCTCGGAGGAGGTGACCTCTGAGCTGAGACCGAGAGGAAGATGGAGCTGCGGTGTATCAGAGTGCTGAAAATGCCAGGCGGCTAGGACAGCATGTGCAAAGGCCCTGAGGTGGGAATAAATGTGGCACCTTCAAGGCTTAGAGCAAAGGACTCTGGCACTGGAATTGAATGGGTGGGAAGGTTGGGAGGATGTAGGGTGCCCTGTGGGAATCTTGGAGTAACTTATATAGGAATGTAGAAGGTGGAAGGGCTTCCCAGGTGGCACTAGTGGCCAGTGCAGGAGATGCAGGAGTCTTGGGTTTGATCCCTGGGTCAGGAAGATCCCCTGGAGGAGGAAATGGCAACCTACTCCAGTATTCTCGGGAGAAGAGGAGCCTGGCAGACTATAGTCCACAGGGTTGCAAAGAGTCGAACACGACTGCAGTGACTGAGCATGCACAAATGCATGTATGCAGAAGGCAGAAGCTGAGACAGTCAGGCTCCAGGGAGGACACATATAACTCAGGAGGCAGGAAATGCCCTGACCCACACCAGGAAAGCTTCTCCATTGCCCCATTCCTCCTCCTGCTGATACAGCATGGAGCCCCTGATTTCCCACGGAGGACGGACATGGGGAAATGTCTCTGGAGCCGTCACTTTTGGCTCCCTGGCCCGATTCTCTTCTCTCCAGCGGCCTGGTCTCATCCCAGTATTTCAAATAGCCACCACAGACTCTGGACTTCCCATGCCAAACTTCAAAAACCCTAATCTCAACCCTAGTGGGGACACACCTTCTAGGCCAATAGTTCTCAGGGCAATAGTGATGTAAAAATCACCGGTAGTGATATTATCCTTGAAAGCCCCTCAGCTGTCCACCGAAGCTAGTTCTGATTTTGCAGCCCTTGCTAGTAAGGATCTTCTCTACACTGAAGTGTGAGAACCATCCCAGAGGCTGCGGGAAGGAACAGAAGGGAAGAACACACGTAACTCCTCCGAGAATCAGGCCTGTCTATTCTCAACTCACGGTCACATGCTCAGAAATGAAGAGGGTGCAGAGTTGTTCATCATTCCCGCTTCCCATTCTGTGCTGATCCCCAGTCTCTATAGTACAGATGCAGTCTCTATTAAAAAAAAGTAGGACAGACCTGTTGTGGGGGTTAGATGGGATCATGTCAGCATGATAGGGAGAATAAGACACTAGATCCAGGCTGCCTGGCTTCACATCCTGACCCCACCATTTGCCAGCTGTGTGACCTTGGATAAGTTACACAGCCTCTCTGGGCCTTAACGTCCTCTTCTATAAAATGGAGGCAATGGTAGGGCCTCCTCTCCCCACCACTGGTTCTGAGCTTTGGTGTGCTCACAGTGCCTGGCACAGTGTACATGCTTGCTACGCACTTACTGCATGAATGACTGTTTTAAAATGCAGGATTCAAAGGTCCCCCACTGCCCACCCACACCAGGGTCACTGGTCCATGGGCAAGTGGGCAAGCCTCCGTGGTTTCTCAGAGCCACGGCCCCAGTCTGGGCTGAGCAGGCAGGTCCTCTGTTGCCTCCCCCGAGCTCATGCCTTCAGCAACTGCACGGACACGGTGGGACCTGCCCCTTTGGCTCATGCTGGGAATCAGCTGGGTGTGGAAGGTGAGGAGGACTGGGTCTGAAGTCCGTACAAGGAAAACCTACAGTTCTCCTCTACCGTCGCACTCACGGTGCTCTGACACCAGATGTGTGCAGGTTTTTTCCACCAAGTGATTCTCTGGAACACCAGCTGGGTGTCTTTTAATTTAACTCAATTCTGACATGCTCCTCCTGGAGACAGTGTCCAGTCGCACAGGTTAAAGACTCAGTCCGATGGAACAGCTCCCCCAGTGCCCCACTCCAGATGCCAGCTGCAAGTTTATTTTGTCACCCGTGCTTCTAACCAATTGGCATAACTCAGAAGTTTCCGTGACCCTATCACAGCTTTGATTAATTTGCTAAAATGATTCATGGAACTCCTGTAGATAGTTTACATACTGTTTACCAGTTTATCATAAAGGACATGATAAAGGATAAAGATGAACGTCCAGACAGAAGGGATGCATAGGACAGGGTATGTGGGAGGGGTTCAGAGCTTCCACGCCCCCTCCGGATGTACCACACTCCCCATACCTCCACCTGTTCACTGAGCCGGAAGCTCTCTGCTGCTGCTGCTAAGTCACTTCAGTTGTGTCCGACTCTGTGCGACCCCATAGATGGCAGCCCACCAGGCTCCCCAGTTCCTGGGATGCTCCAGGCAAGAACACTGGAGTGGGTTGCCATTTCCTCCTCCAATGCATGAAAGTGAAAAGTGAAAGTGAAGTCACTCAGTTGTGTCTGACTCTTAGCGACCCCGTGGACTGCAGCCCACCAGGCTCCTCTGTCCGTGGGATTTTCCAGGCAAGAGTACTGGAGTGGGGTGCCATTGCCTTCTCCAAGAGCCAGAAGCCCTCTGAACCCATACAATTGGGATTTTTATGGAGCCTTCATCATATAGGCATGACCAGTTATTAACTCCATTTCCAGCCCCTTCTTCCATCTCTGGAGAGTGGGGAAGGTGGAGGTTCCAGCAGGTAACTGAAGCAGATGGGGATGGTGTTGAAAATTCCAAGCTTCTGATCATGGCTAGGTCTTTTTGGTGAGCAGACGCCTTCCAGGCGCCCAGTCAGAGCCCCCTTACTAGAACAAAAGATGCTCCTAGTGGTCTTATCACTTAGGAATCTACAAAGTTTCCGGAGCTTATTGCCAGGAAGGAGGACAAAGACAAAAATATATATTTCTTAGTATAAATCACAGTATCACCCCTGGTTTCAGAGCTCCCTGACTGTGTGACCTTGGGTGAGTCACTTAAGCTTCCCTAACCATGATTTGGGGGTGATCACAGGAGCCACATGGGGCTGTTTCAGGAATCAATAAATTATGTGCACAGGGGATGGTGCCTGGGACACAGTAATTCACGGCAGCAGCAACCATCAGTTATCCATCACTGCCCACGTGCTCGGCACCTTTCATATCTTTTTTTGCCCCCAAATATTTATGAACGTCATCTCCCGGAGCTGTTCACATTACTTCCTTGGGGCTCTAAGGGAGGGCGGGAAGAAGGTTGGCAGTAGACTGTGTGGTTCTCATTTCACTGATGGAGAAACTGAAGATCAGAAAAGCAATGGGCCTTGCCCCAGAGTTGCCCAGGAGTAAAGGGCAGAACCAGGATGTGAACCCAGTCCTCTGGGAGGCAGTGCGGTGAGCTGGTTAAACGGCTGGGTGCTGCCAGCTCTTTGATCTTGGCCAGGCCGTTTCACCTCTCCAGCCTCAGTTTCCTTATCTGGGAACCAGGGATAATAAGAGAAACCACAGAAGGGGAAAGAGAACTAAAGGAGGTAAGGCATGTGAAGTGTTGAGTAGGGCTTGAGGAAAGACGCAGTACGTTTAGTAACCAGTTGGTTTAATGGGTTATTATTTTTATCTTATTATTATTAGCCGGCACGGTCTTCTGTTCACTGCGCCAGGCTGCCTCTCACAGCTTAGTGCCCTTTGCCATAGATGAGCTTTCGTTTCCTGCCAAGCGCTGGTGGAGTCGCTAGCAGGTGATCGAAGCAGATACCCTGCTGTGGTTAGGTCTGTTATTATAGTCCTGTGATGAAGACTCTGTTTTATTACCATGTAAAGGATTTGTGGGGAAGTGTCTGGCAAGCCGTGGGGCTAGTTTTCAGCTTTAGTATTCAAAGGGGGAGCACAGCCACCTGTGTGCTCCCAGGTTCCTTTCTGCTCTCTCCCCCCACAGTCTTCGTGGTCAGTTTGGACTTGAGTCTGTCTTCTCCAGCTCCTCCCCCCCGACCAGTAGGGGACTGGCTACGTGACCCTGGGCAAGTTACTTCCCCCCTGATCTCCAGAGGGGCGGATTGAAGAATGAAGTGAGATAATAGATGTAAGGGGTGCCTGATGGCTGGTTCAGAGCCCCTGATAACGGTCAGATGAACAACTTTTCGGAAAGAGGTAGCTAGTTGAATGGCTTCCCTCACTGACTCGGTGACATTTGCCCTCCGTGCTGCCTGCCGCGACCTCCACCGCTCCCTCTCCTGCGGGCAGTCACACGGTGCTCTCTTTGGCTCCCTTACATGCCGCTGGCTCTTAACTCGTGTCGGGGTGTTTACTGTCACTTTGGGGGGTAGGTTTTCAGCTGTTCTGCTTCTCTGCTGGCTCAGACAGTAAAGAATCTGCCTGCAACGTGGGAGACTGGGGTTCGATCCTTGGGTCAGCAAGATCCCCTGGAGAAGGGAATAGCAACCCACTCCAGTATTCCTGCCTGGAGCATCCCATGGACAGTGGAGCCTGGCAGGCTACAGTCCATGGGGTTGCAAAGAGTCAGACATGACTGAGCGACTAGCACTTTCAACTGTTTGGCCACTTCTTTTTGTAAGTGGCTGAGCACGCCTAACCTGCATGCTCCTGCAGGCTCCTTCACGGATGCTGAGGCTTCTGCGCCAGCCTCTTGCCACACCCGCCTTGGCCTCCCCCACCACCCCCAGCGCTCCCTGCTTCAGCCACCACGTCCCTTCCCCGGCTCTCCGTGAAGGATGTCACTTCTCCAAGAAGCTCCCCTCCATCCCTCCCCCGACATCTGCAGGCAGGGCCATTGCTCCTTCTCTGCACCCACATGGACCCCAGCTCACCCCATCTGGCTCTGACCGCACGGCTCCGTGAAGGTGTGTTTACTGGTCTCTCTGCCCCTCAGGACTTGGCGCCCTGGGGGGCAGACCCGTGTCTGGGTCATCTCCACGTCCCTGGCCTGGCGCTGGGTCTGCCCTCGGTGGGCAGTCCCCGTGTTTGTGAAACGAAGGGCTGCTGAAGTGACAGCGTGGATGGCAGAGCAGGATACCCCCAGGCAGGCAGGAGACCAGGCCCCTGGGAGGCGGGGGCCCCGGGGGGGGCAGGGGTGGGCCCCGACCCTGGACTCAGCCTGGATCCTCGGATCAGAGGACGGGAGGTGGGGGAGCTGGGTGGAGGCCTTGGGCCTGACACGCACTCCTTGACTGAAGGGTGTGAAGTCAAGGGCGGCCAGCGGGGGCCGAGAGAGTCCGTGGGCCCCATGGTGTGAGGAAACCTGGGGTGCCAATACCAGGGGGTCCCTAGAGGTCATTTCCTCAGGGCCTTCCCTTCACTGCACTTGTACCTGTGACCCGGAAGGGGAGGGACTTCCCGCGTCACTCAGTGAGTCAGGGCAGAGCTGGGCGGAACGCGGAACGTTCCAGGGCGCCTTGCAAGCCCTTCAGATACGGGAGGGGGCTCTGCAGGCCGCCGCCCCCGCCCCCCGAAGTGCCCGCTGCCCTCCAGGCCCCCGACGCGGTCTCCTCTCCCTCCTGCAGGTGAACCTGCTGCTGGGGGACGGCCGGTCCCTGGGCCTCACCATCCGCGGGGGAGCGGAGTACGGCCTGGGCGTTTACGTCACCGGCGTGGACCCGGGCTCCGAAGCAGAGAGCAGCGGGCTCAAGGTGAGAGACCCCTGACTCCAGGGAGAGGGATGGGGCGCCGGGCTGCAGGTCGGGCAGAGAGGGAGGGAAGGTTCCCGCGTGTGGAGCTCTGGGCAGCTGATTGCGATGGGACGTCCAGCAGAGCGGCCAGCACCCCGCCTTAAGGGCCTGTCCCTGGCTCCACGGCTCTCCTTCGCAGCTCGCAGCTCAGGACCCCTCACCCGCTCCTACTCCCGCGCCCCAGGTCTCCCAGCGATCCTCTCACAGGGCGGCCTCCCACACGCTGCGGGCAGCGGGCCAGCCTGAGCTCTTCCAGGCTGCTGGTTTGCAAACACCGCCAACGGCCAGCGATGGCCCTGACTTCTGGGCCTATTCTGGCCCCTGGAGAGGACAGGGGAAAGGCGGCTGTGGGCTGGGGTGGGGCTGCATGGGGCAGCTTCAGGCCCGGCATTTGAGCCAGGGCAACCAGCAATTAGCTCTCATTTTGAAGAGGGCCAGCTGAGTGCCTGGCGTTCGTCCTTGATGTCACACATGTCATCTCCCTGAACCTTATCCTGCCCTGTGAGGTGGGATGTTCTTACCCACCTTGCCAGTGGGGAAACTGAGGCTATAGAGGTTAAACAGACTTGTCCAAGGTCATGCAGCCGATGGCGTGCAGAGCAGGGCTTGAGCCCAGCAGCCGTAGCTCCAAAGTCCATGGACTTAACTGCTACACTGTATCCTCCGCTGGGGAGGGCCAGGAACTGCCCCCGGGCTTTGGAGGGCTACAGTGGGTGAGGCAGAGACTGTGTTACACTGGACCCCAGACACAGATCCCTTAGATAAATAGCAGCATGCTCTGGCTAAATCCTGTGGCCAGAGGTGCTGTGGCAGCAGTGACCCTGGGTACAGGTGGCATTTGAGCCAAGTCCAGTGGACGAGAGGCTATGAGTGAAGGGGCTTTCTGATTGAAGGAACCACGTGGTTTGACCACTCGTGACCGGATGGATGACCAGCCACGTGTGAAGCTGGGGAAGAAGGCAGGAGATGAGACTGTGTCTTCGTTACAAAGGGCCTGAGTGCCTACTGACCTGGGGAAGCTGGTTCTCCATGTGGATGAGAAGAAGGGTCAGGGCGGATCAAAGTGGTGGTCAGAAGACTGCCCCTGCCCCCTCCGCCTGACGTGGCTCAGGGGATTCGCTTAGGAAACACATGATGAGACAAGCTCTGGGTCTGGAGTTCGGATCCCAGCTTTGCTGCTTTTGTTGTCGTAGCCTTATAACCTTGGAGAATGCCTCCACCTCACTGTTTCCCTTCCCTTTCCTAGATAATGATAATGTACAGCATCTCTTTCTTAGAAAAAAATGAGGAATACACTCAATGACATTAATGATAAAGGTTAAAATTATTGTGTGTCTGTGTTATGGACTGAATGTGTTCCTCCCAAATTCATCCCTTGAAACTCTTAACTCCCAAAGTGATGATACTAGGAGGTGAAGTCTTTGGAAGGTGATTAGGTTATAAAGGTGTAGCCCCAGGAATGGATTTAGAGCAGCATTGACATATATACGAAAGCATACCTAAAAAGCAGAGACATTACTCTGCCGACAAAGGTCCATTTAGTCAAAGCTATGGTTTTTCCAGTCGTCATGTATGGATGTGAGAGTTGGACTATAAAGAAAGCTGAGCACCGAAGAATGGATGCTTTTGAGCTATGTGTTGGAGAAGACTAAATTGAACTGATGTGTAAAATAGGTGGCTAGTGGGAAGCTGCCGTATAGTGTAGGAAACTCAGCTTGGTGCTTTGTGATGACCTAGAGGGGTGGGAAGCAGGTGGGTGGGAAGGAAGTTCAAGAGGGAGGGATGCATGTATGCATATAGTGGATTCATATTGTTGTACAACAGAAACTAACCCAACATCATAAAGCAATTATTTGTTGTTGTTCAGTCGCTCAGTCGTGTCCGACTCTTTGCGACCCCATGGACTGCAGCACGCCAGGCTTCCCTCCATCACCAACTCCTGGAGCTTACTTAAACTCATGTCCATCGAGTCGGTGATGCCATCCAACCATCTCATCCTCTGTCATCCCCTTCTCCTCCTGCCTTCAGTCTTTCCCAGCATCAGGGTCTTTTCCAAGGAGTTGGCTGTTCACATCGGGTGGCCAAAGTATTGGAGCTTCAGCTTCAGCATCAGTCCTTCCAATGAATATTCAGGACTGATCTCCTTTAGGATGGACTGGTTTGATCTCCTTGTAGTCCAAGGAACTCTCAAGAGTCTTCTCCAGCACCACAGATCAAAAGCATCAATTCTTCAACACTCAGCCTTCTTTACGGTCCAACTCTCTCATGACTACCATAGCTTTGACTAGACAAACCTTTGTCAGCAAAGTGACGTCTCTGCTTTTGAATATGCCATCTAGGTTTGTCATAGCTTTTATTCCAAGGAGCAAGCATCTTTTAGTTTCGTGGTTGCAGTCACCATCTCTGGGCCTTGGCTTCCCAGCTTGGGCCATGGGCAGTTGAACAGTTGGGCAGGCAGATCTCTGGGACTTTCTCTGGCCGGAGAGTACCAGCGGCTCTCCAGGCACAGGACCGTGATCTATTCTCCTTCACCTGTAGGCTCCTGTGCCCGCAGAGAGATGCCACAGTAGGGGGCCTGCTGGCAGATTCTTTGGCAGGAAGGAAGGAAGTAGGCATTAATGCAGGAAGTGGGTACCCTTGGCTGCCCCTCCTTCACTTCCTTCCATGTGATCAGCACACGTACACTGGGGACTCCTGCATGCCAGACACTGTACTTGCACTGTGGTTTCTGAGCTGAGCAAGACAGACACAGTCCCTGCCTTCCGAGAGCTTATTTTCTAGTTGGAAGACAAGGGGGAGGGGGAATAAGTTTCACGACTATGTATTTAATTGCAATAAATACCAGATGTGATAAATACCAAGATGTGCTTCCAAGAAGCACATGGAACTCTGAGTGTCTGGGGGGTAGATATCCAGGAAGACTTCCTAGAGAAAGAAACATTTCAGTGGAAATTTGAAAGGAGAAAATGAATTATGTGAAGGAGGGAAGGAGAATTTTGGGCAGAAAGGACAGCAAATGCTGAGTCCCTGAAGTGGAAAGAAGTGTTCTAGGATGCAAAGGAAGCCTGATGTTGGATGAATGCAAAAAGACAGGCGGGGAAAAGATGCCAGACCATGCTGAGGAGGCAGGTAGCCAGATCACACAGGTCATATAATGCACCCAAGACTGTGCAGCCGTAAAAAGATGATGTTCAAGATCTTCAGTTATTACTGTGGAAGGATGTCCGCAGTGTGTTATTAAATGGAAAACAGGCTGCCAAACTATGTGTCTAGCAGGATTTCATGCATATTGTATATGTATGCAAAAATATTTCCAGAGAACCATCTATAGCAACACATACCAAGATGTCAGTAGTGCTTATCCTGAGGTGATAAGATTATGGATGATTTTCATTTTATTCTTTACATCCTTACATAGTATCTGAATGGAGCAAATGCTACTTTTATAATCATGGAAACAGCAACAGTAAAGTGATTTCCATTTTGAAACAAAAGGCAGAAGAAAAATATTCCGTAGAAGTTTTTCAGTTACTTTCGTCTGCTTCTCAGTTGCAGGCAATCAGAAGCTTTATTTGCTCCTAAAATGCCTCCCTTCAATAAAGGCCCTTCCATCTTCCATCCCCACTGTAGTAAAACATTTTACCAGTATATTCCCTGCCACTATTGGACTTTCCCCTCCCAGGGCCCTCACATACGCTAACACCTGCCTACACTCACTCAGGCATCCAGGACTGATTAATTCTGTTTATTGCCAGTGCGCTTTCCATGTAATTAAGCATATTGAAATGGAATAAAGGGGCTTGGCTGTGTGGGTGGTGGGGCCAAGAACAAACTTTATTTGTAAATAGGGCTCCGTGCCACTGTGCAGAGCTTTCCTGGGGCGATAGTGCACCTTGTGCCTGGCTTCCAGCCACTCCCTTAGCTCCCGAGGGGCCCTGTGAGTCCAGCGAACACTGCTGGGAGGAGAGCTCAGAGGAGGAGGCCCTGCACTTGCCAGCGTTCACCCTGGGGGCGGCCGCCTGGGACTTAGAACTGTGCCGCCCTCCCGGCAGGGGTGACTCCTGCCTCGGCATTTACCTTTAGGCCTCTCTTATGCCTTTACACCTGCCCCACCAAACCCCACCAGAGAAGGGACCATAAAACCTTGATTGTTTCTTTAAGGACAGCCAGAGTTGACTGCATTTAATAGTAATAATGGTAGCTCTTGCTATTTATTAACCAGTTATTATGAACCAGGCATTGTGCTAAACACTTTAGATACACGCTTATTTAATCCTCCCAGTAGCCCTTTGGTGGGCCTTAATAGATGGCATTTAATAAGTGGGCACTTCATAGATGCGTCACTGAGGCTCAGAGAGGCGTAGTACCTCGCTTGGGCTCACACAGGGATCCAGCCCTAGCCCTTCAGGCCCTCCAAAGGCCATGGACTTTGCTCCATCACCTCCCTAGGACCCTGTATTGGTCAAATATCAAAAGAATGCAGAAAGAGGAAACAAAGGCCATTTAGTCTTCTTATGAATCACTGAGCTTCCGAAGCCCAGGGTGCCTGTCCCAGATCCTGCCAGGTGCCATAGCCTTCACCCTTGAGGTCATCCCAGGGTGGAAGACCCATTTGGTTTCTGCCAACGGGAGCCAGGCTTCCATCCTGGCTGGGGTGTTTGGGGGGCAGGAACTCTGTTCCCATGAATGCCCCACTCTTGGGGTCACCACTGTGCAGCTTGTGGCCTTTGGGCTGGCCATGGATCGTCTGCTGCTGATTTGGAGTCTCAGTGACTATGGGGATGAACCACTGTTTGCAGATCTGTCTTGTGTGCTGTGTGTCAACTGGGTTGGGCTGACCTCTCTGTGGACTGGCTTTTACCAGGGTCTGTTCTGACTGGTCCTTTCTGGCCTGAGCCTGGGATGGCATCCTTCACGGCGCACTCACCCAGGAGTTGATCTCCACATGTCAGCCCTGACCC